AGTATCGGTCAACTCATGAGAAAACTTTGACCGAACTTCAACACTTTTTTGAGGAAGTGAAGGCCTCTGCCCTTCGTGCTTTTGGAACAGTCAAGTGTAAGGACTAGACAGCGAGTTGATTCGTTTTCCAATTGGTTTTGATACAAAAGGACACAGTAGATCCAAATCTAAGGCAGATGACCTCTCTGGACGATGTTTTTCTCTTGAGTAGAAATCACTTATGCAAAAGTATCGGGCCATAAAAGTATCCAATGCCATACTATACAAGGTAGCATCAGGACCTAACTCAGAGCAAATGCCGCGTGTAGCTCCAACCACACTGCGACTTGGTGGGAATCCATATAGCGAAGTGTGATGATAATTATGAATTTCATTCACCGTTTTGGACAACAGCGACAGCGAGGGGAGACGGGCAAGAGAATCGCAAATTGCCGTTTCGTCGCGCGCGGCAATGGGCGCGACGTTTCCTTAATTTGCACTACCCTTTCGATTGGAGCATCGGATTTCATGTACAAGGACATGGTAGACACTTATGTCTATTTTTGGTCATACATTGTCTATTCTCGACCAATACCACCTAAAATCGTCGTCATTAGCGGGCGACGTCGCAAGCGACGCCCACTGGCGCGGCAAATTACGATTCTCTGGCCACGTACCCGACTGCGAGAGACGGTAAAGCAACTGTGGGATGCACACTTAACACACCTCCCATAGACAATGCCTGGATCTCGAAATAGCTGCGGAAAGATTTGATGAGAGATTCAAAAACTTCGATTTTTTGAGACAACCTAATATCTCAGCAGGTATCTTGAGAGCTCTATCCTTGCAACACTGACACATACAATTTTGTTGTTTGTTTCTTCGAGCTGCTTATAACCCTTTTTGCCAGTGTCCTAGGACTTTTTGGACCAGCTAATACCAGGCTTTCTTTCCAAATTTGTGTGGTGTGCATGTATATAATGTACAATTTTTCATTTCGTTTGTAACTTAAGAAGAGTTAAACGTTCCGTTGGAGCTTATTACGTCGAAGCGAACAAAAATGTACTTCTCAGAGGAAAAATAGAAGTGACAAAACAAGTAGTAACTGTGAATATTTGCTCTGTACTACTTCCTTTCCTTTTCTGCTTCCTTTTAGCACAGAACAGAATGCTAGAAATCTACACCAATTTTTGATAAAGGTTCCAAAGCAATTAGATCAAATTTATTGTTGGCAATACTTTTAACAAATAGTTGAAGATTCAGTTCTTTGTATTAATGAGCTAAGTTTTGCGTGAAGACGTAGTCCTGAAAAGATTTGATTCAAGCTGTGATCGAACTCCTCTGCCGAACAGGCCAGTAGATTGTATGGACGAGAAACTACCTCTTGCGCCCCTCATGGGTGTGTCCCTTCTCTTCACCTTCTTCGAAAGAAGGGCGCACAAATG